ATTTTCCTGATAGATTAATATAATTTCCTTAGATTTGCCAGTAAAGGCATCTTTCGTTATCCGTAAAAACATTCAAATTTCACAATTTGAAAATGGTTGCATATTATTTTTACAAATTTTACAAATATTTAAAATGCATAAATGCAATTTTATCTTAGAATGGTACAAGAAATTTAAAAAACAAAAACAGTGAAAAACAATGGGAACTGAAAAAAAAATTAAAATAATTTAAAATTTCATAATTAAAAAAGATTTTAAAAAATTCTTCATTTTTATTGCTTTCTTCTTTTCTAAATCAAAAAAATTTAAATTTAAATTTTGTAATATAAAATTTTTGAATTTTAAAGATGTAAAAAAAATACTCTTTCCTTTAAAAAGCATTTTATCTTTTGTTCCTTCAGATTTGTAATTATAATAACAAAACAAAAATTATAATCAATCCAAATTAAAATATAAAATTTATTTTTATACTGAAATTAAAACATGTTTTGTGTTGTTCAAAATGTTAATATTTTTACTAAATTTAAATAAAGAAAATCTTTTTGAGAATCGCCTCACTGTATCGGTTGAGGATGTCCGATAGAAAGTCAATGCAAAATGGCAAGGGTTATCTGCAGTTGGATAGTTCACAAAAACAAAACAGATAAATTTTTTTTAAAATATGATCTCTTGGGAGTCACATTTCGCTTTTGAAAAAGGTTGATGAAAAATTTATATTATATATAAATTTAGGAATTGGCTGTAATTTGCATTCAAGTCGGATCAAATAGAAAAGTTCGGTTTTTGAATTTTTAACAAAAAAAATTATTTGAAAATGGAAAATTATCATCTCAATTTGATTGATTTTAATTTTTTTTCTCAAGGTCTTTCAATATAATAACTATCTCAGGGTTATATAAAATTATATATATTTTTTCTTAAAAGAATAAATTCAAATGTAATTTTGGAAATATTCTTAAAAAAATTTTAGTCACAGAACTTTTAAATGTTACATAATAGTCTGTTTATATCTTTTCCATCTTCCTTTTTAGCGGCCTTACCTTCTAAGTCCAGTTCGAAGGACTACCCAACCTTAAAAATTCATGAGTTTGAAATCAGACTTTTTTCTTTATTGGGAATAATAGTAGAAATTCTTCTTTAAATCTCTTTAAGTAAAATTTAGGAGAATTAAACTAATCTTTTTAAGATAGGAAAACTGTTGTTTTTAAAGAATTACCATTAGTTTTAACTATCTTTCAACCAGAAATAAAAAAGCTTTGAACATTATTTCTGGCTTGGGTTTATTCCACTCTGATTGCCGAAACACAAAAAGAAATTTTTTGAAACACACACTAAATGATTTAAGGAAATAAAAAACCTTTACTCCTTTTTTTTTTATAGGATAATCTACTAATCCAATTATAAATTGAGGTCTTTACTTTTATAAAAGGAAAGGAAAAATGACTTGTTCATTTAAAATCAGTTGTGTAAACTTTCGACAAATGAGAAATTATTGGAATAGAAAAATATCTAAATAAAGAAGCTATTGGTTTCTATTATATAGGCATTTAATGTGTAAAAATACACAAATGGTCTTAAAGGATTCTTGAATTAAAAAAAATATATATATTAGATAAAATTTATACTAAGAAACGACACACACCAAAAATAAGAAAATTCTTTCAAGGATATGCTCGTAGCGTAAATATAGGCGCTAAAATTAGGATTTTCATTATTTTAAAAAATATTTAATTTCTTTAAAGATTTTTAAAACAAAACATGGGTATAAATCATGGCCCTATTTACAATTATATATATATCCGTTTATATCAATATATATATATATTATAATCTAATAAATCAGTTGTTTTGGAAAGGCTAATATTCGTGATATCAAAAATGTTTATATTTTGTTACACTGAGCAACTATATTCTTACATATAAAATATGAAGATTGTTTTCTGTTATTCCTTTGGATTTGAATATATCCAATTTCGAGCGCCAATTTTGAAGAATAATTTTTAATTGGTTATTAAAATTACTATTTAAAGTTCCGAAATTTATTTTCCATTTTATTTTCCAAATTTAAATTTATATTTGAATAATTGTTGAAGATTTCTTTGAAAAAACTCCTTTTTTTTTGATTAATTATTTTAGCTAAACATGTAATTCTTAACCCATTCACTCTATTAATTATAATTTCAAAAAGAAACTCATATATATGGCAACAGGATAAATTAATTAATCTATATACAATGCAAATTTCTACAATGGATATATTAAAATTTAAATTATTTCTGAGCAATTTCTATATATATATATATATATATATATATATATATACATATATATATATATATATATATATATATATATATTGAACAATAAAAAAATTAAAAAATTAAAATCTTCAGACACACTGGGTTGTAGATTATTATTCTTTCGTTTTTTTTTTTATTATTATTTCATTTAGATTCCTCGATTAGTTTCGGCTAAAAATGGCCATCATCAGGAGAGAAATATTTCTGCTTGCTGGTAGCAGTAAACTACAGAAATGAATATCTTGATGGAGAAAATGAACTTTTGTCTGTAGTTTTCATTTGTTTTTTTATTTTTTTATCTTTTTAACATGAATTTTTTAACATTCTTGTGTTGGTCAAACAATCTCTTTTAAGTTGTTATTTGAGATAAGAGCTGGATAGATCTATGCTTCTCTGAATTCCCTTGGTCATGTTTGACAGTTTTAAATAATCCTGGACTGGAGGGTGTGTCTCTGTTTAAAGTGTTTGTGTGTGTGTTATTTGGTTCTTAGGGAAATATGTGATTAAATATGTATAAAGCCTGTGTGATTAAGGGTGGGTGTGTGTTATCATTTGGCTCATTAGGGGAGTTTTGTTGATATCTGCGAAGAATAATATTTACATATTCGATATAAACATGTATAGTGTGAGGGATCACATCTCCGTAAATGTCAGTGAATTTTTGGGTGAGAAATATGTTAATTTTATCATTTTAGACGACTGGATCGGAATTTTTTATCCACTTATTTTACAAGGGATTCAAAAATATTTCTAATGAATTTTTGTATATATATATATATATATATATATATATATATATATATATATATAGTTTATGAAAACTAGGTAATCCGTATGGGTAAACCTAAGGAGGATAAAATCCAGAGAGCTCAATGTAAATCCAGAGCAAATAATTTAAATAAAAACAGACCACTTTAAGGTTCCATGTAATAAATTATTTCACCAAAGCCCTTTTTAAAGGACTACGGATCATCAGACTTTACTTCCAAAGGTTGAAACGAAAAATGAAAGAAATTTACACATTTTGACGGACCGTATTAAACATGTATATAAATATATATATATAGGGGAGATAGAAGACATATATAGTTATATATATATATATATATATATTTACAAAATAAATCTAGTATTTTTCCCATGATTGAAGGAGGAAGTGTGTGTCAATAATCGAGCCTTATAACACAAACCAAAGATATTTACTGACAAAAAAGTAACCCCCAATGAGGATTGATTATTTATGTTTTTTTTGAATTTGTTTGAAAATGGAAAGTGAGTAGTTACAGCCATCTAAACCTATCTTAGACGTAGTTAATATATTTATTTCTGATAAAACAGAAATTTTGGTACATGGCCAATAAGGGGGAGGGGGAGAGGCTGGTCATCATTAGCTATCCTCGTCCTTGTTAATCTGAATCACGACCAAATCATTCATTACAAGTTACTCATTTACCTCAAAAACTCATACCTCATCTTTTAATCCTACAAGTACCACAATACCACAAATTCTCAAGGGTTCCTTGAGGCGATGTAATGGTTAGCTTGTCTCGTTAGAACAATTACGACTGAATAGTGAGTTCGATCCTCACTTGGTGCCCCATAGTTTTGGCCTTGTGCTTAAATCTATTCTACTTCTTGGAAAATCGGTCTATATGATTTGGACACCTATACTGAGGTTTAATGGTTGCAAGATTTGTCTCCAAGCGTAGTTGCGACTGAATAGAGAGTTCGATCCTCACTGGGTGCCATCTACTTTCGGCCTTCTAAGTTACGCTTGGAAAAATTACTATACCATAAATTTACAAGGAACCTATAAAAAAAAAGCACATGACATAAAAAAATTCGCAATATATTTTTTTGTTTCTTTACCAAAATACATGTAGAAATTTTCCCAGGACATAAAGAGGGAAGGTTTAGTCTAATAATCAGATTGATTTAAAAAAAAAAGTCTAAAAGTTTGAAATGAGGATCGATACTGCTCTAGTCTGAAGTGATTTAGCGAAAAAATATTAAACATTACAATCTTTTTTGAAATGCTTACGTTTTATTAATTTAATTGTTCGGCAATAATCTGTCTAAGTTGTTTAACCAATCCAATTTTCATTCTCTAAAATGTGTCAGTAAACAGAGCGTTCACATTCTTTATTAAGAGACGTGTAGTACACATGTTACAATAGGCACGGTGAGAGGTATTGCTGTCACGGTGAGAGGTATTGAAGTCACGGTCAAGAGAAAAGGTTCTTAAAAGGAATACAATATGATTTCCTCAAAACATTACCTCATATTTGTGAATCTTTCCTTTTTTATTCTGGGAGTCGTTCTGATTCTCCTTGGGGCTGCCGTCCAGCGTTCTGTCAATGAGAATTTCAGCCAATATAGCGTGTATACAAACCCTCCGACATCTCTCACGATCGCTTTTGGGGTCTTACTCTTTTTAACCTCTCTGCTCGCCCTAGTAAGCATTGAGTGTCAAAGCCCTATTCTGTTGTTTTTCTATGAAAAATTTTTCAGCCCTTCTGATAATTATTGAATTTATCTGTGGGGACTACTTTTTTTTATTTTAAGCCGCATATGTTGAAGCTTAATGAATTAAATCTATATAATTCGCCGAGACCAAATACAATACCGAGCACTCTGCATTTTCCTCGTGGAATCTGATTCAGCTAGAATTGAACTGCTGTGGCGTCGATCTGCACATTCATGGTTCTTTTATTTTATATCTTCTCTCTTCCGGATTCTTGCTGTATTCTCTATGACGTCAATTGTGGTAGCGTCGCGATTCCAACCGGTAACTATTACCAGACCGGCTGTGGAGAATCCCTTTCACGATGGGCTCGCAGACACGAAATCTCCTCCGCCGTTCTTATCACGTTCGTCGTAATCTTCCAAATTCTGTCTCTTCCTAAAAAAAAATTTGAACCAAGATTTTGGTATTTCTGGAGACTAAAAACAGTTTTGATTCTGTTTAATATTGATAAATGATTTCAAAGCTAACAAAAAAATCATTTTAAATAAAAATCCTCAATAAAAAGTTTTTCTTGAACTTTACATTTTTTGTTGACCGATAAAATGAAGACTAAGTAAAAGTCCGCGTTTTATAATTATGCTGAAAAACGAACAGTAAAAGGCCCACATTTTCAACAGAAATAAAACCGTTTTACACAATCCAATAAACATGGAAAGAACTCTGCATTACAAAGTATTAAGAATAAATTCTCAGTCAAGCCCCCATGGAATCAAAATAACCATCTAAAGTTTCCATAGCAGGATAACTTACTAAAAAAATTAAACACATTCCGATTTTGTTTTTATGTTAATTTTCTCTTAAAAAAAATTTACATATGAGATTTAGTTTTACTGAAACTTGTATTCTTGACAATTCGCTTTATTATTTATTCTTTTTTTTTTTTTTGACAAATGTCAACCGACTTTAACATGTTTATGAACTTACAGTTGAAAACCTATCGCCTAATTTAACTTAATCTGTTTAATTAAAAATAACAATTGTGTTAAAGTGTTTGTTAAGAAGCAATGAATTTTTTATCCCTAATTCTAGCAATAAATGGAATTTACGGTCTCCAATATCGCCAGTTGAGAGATATAGATCACAGCTAAGAGCTGCAATGTCAACTAGAAATGTTTTGTTACCCTCTCTCTACATTTTCCATTTGTAAAGAGGAAATACCACTCTAACAGCTTTCCCCCAGGATTAGTGCTTTGTGGAAGTATCCTGAATATAATATTGGTTAATTAAAATGATGGGTTCAATCGTTATGGCTGATTCCATTTAAAAATACAATGACAAAACCTTTCAAACCTAAAAATGTATCATCATCTTTGACAATGCACATTTTGCCTCTTTGAAAATATGGAACGTTTTTTTCTTTCTTTATTCAATGGAATGCAGTTGAAATTAAAACATAAGACATATTATTGAGACTAATTCCACTATATATTTTGTACTTTTTTTTTTTTTTTTTTTTTTTTTAACTAAAAAACCACCATCCTGTTACATTTCAATCCCAAAATATTGGTAATATAGTTACCCCCAAAAAAAAACTTAAATTAAAAAAAAACAATGAAAAAAAATAAAAAAATGGGTTTTAATAAAATCGTTAAAAAAAAAAAAATTCATTACAATAATTACTTTGAAAATTAGTTACCAATTTTTACATTCTTGCAAAAAAAAAATCACCCTTATACAAATTCTTTTTGAGATTTTATAATAAAAATCTTGTCGGCATTAAATAAACCATTCCTTGATATTCTAAAAAACAAACCAAACCCCGCTCACCAACCCTGTTCACTCAGGCAGGTAAACTTTTTTCATATATAATCTAGTTTAACTCGATAAATATATAGAATATATATATATTTATATAAGTCTCTTTGTGTGTGTGTGTGTAATTTTGTGAGTGTTGATTGTGTGTGTGTGTGTGAATGTGTTTGGCTACATTCCCTAAAAAAGAAAAAACTAAATTTTTAGGTCGTTTAATATTTTCTCGTTTTTTCCCGAAATAATAAAATAAGGGACGTCAAAGAATTGTGCCTACTAAAATATATTTGTTGTGTATATATATATATATATATATATATATATTTATATTATATTGGGTACAGTTTTATGAGAAACTAATACTGTTCAATGACCACTGCTTTTTAAAGTCCCACCCTACAAATTGAAGTCCTAGTTTAAATTCCAGGCTCCTGTATTAAATTTAATATTGAAAATAAGCAACCATTTAGTGCATTTAAAACCGAACTTGAATTTTTTTTTTCTCGTTATCAGTCAAAACTACAACTTCGTCATTATTGACAGATCTGTCATCTGTCAATACAACGTAATTCTTTCGCGTTATTTGCGAAAAATGACGTAATTTAAAGTCCAATTAATCCGATTTGAAACGAATATTAGTTTTACTTTAAAAAAATTTCATTTTTTTTTCTTGCTGTTGGACAACCTGATGTAGGAGACGCCATCGAAAATTATAACCTGACTAATAGGTGGAAACGAATGCGAACTCCGCCGAGCAATAAGCCTAATGAGTCTTCAGACAAATCTCATCATCCGTATTATGTTTGAACAGAAGGCGCGCAGCAGAATCAGGCCACAAATAAACCGTGCTGCTTTTGTTAAAGACACCGGAACAAGGAATTCTATATTCCTGCTAAAGAATGTTATCGGGAATTAAATAAAATGCGGAAATTTTTGAGAAATAATTTTTATTCAAAAAATTCGCAGATGGCGTTCGCTTTAATTTTATTATAATATTAGGACTAATTTAGAATAAGGAAGAGAACATGTTGATATATTCATGAGGAAATTAAATATCAGAGAATAATAATAAAGAACTTATTTATAATGGCAATTGTTATGCATTCGCAGCGAGAATGAGCTCTTAAATATACAAAAAAATAGAAAGATATAAAAGGCAAGGATGTTTCTCATCGGACTTATTCAGCCTATATATTTATAAGGCTGTATTAAGGGATCTAGAAGATCATACCAGGATTCATAATTGGCCTCTACAAACTCACCATTTTAAAGATACGCAGGTGATACGGTACTGATAGCAGGCACGGAAAAAAAAGTAAAAAAAAAACAGAAGGTGGCGAGGGATGTGAAGTAGGACTATGCATGAACAACAAGACAGAATCCATGGTCATCAGTAATATATATAATATTAGTGGAAAATATACATACATATGCAAAATATATAAATACCCATACATGTATATTTTTAGAAAAAAAATTCCAAGAGGAAGAATCAGGTAGAACTCAATGTCTAGGACAGAGTAAGGATATAATAAAAGGCTTAAACACTAATATTCCATGGTCATAATTTATATATTGGAATCGTAAATATGATCAATATTACACATATTATAAAAATAAAAATGAAACAGAATAAATATATATATATATAAATATATATTTAGGAAAGTGTATTATTTTTATAGGATACAAATTTTTGGAAAAAATTTCTTTTTATAGATATGGGTATGTAAGTGTTTGACGGATGTCTTGGAAAAAAGGATGAGTTCGAAATGTATACATACACACCAAAGACAATTTTAGTTTAGAATAATCCCCATCTAAAATTTGGATGTAGGATGACTAAAGGAAAAAAAATTGCGTTTTAATGTATATTTATTTATAAATAAAAAAAAAATCTATATAAATACAAAATAGTATTTCAGCTTTAAATATAATGTATGGTTTTGAATATAAAAAAAATACTTCAAAACCATTCATAAGGACTGTCCTGACCTTTTTAGATTAGCTGATGAATTTTTATTATGATTTGGTTTATTATTTTCAATACTATTTTTGAATATATTATCTTGAAATGTTATTCTGAGGGCTGCTGAGTCTGTACATAAAACTAAAAACATGAAAATATATAAAATATATATTCGAATAAACCCCAAATATTCATTTAATATAAAGTTTAAACCTAATCCAGAAGGTAACGAAGTATCGATATTAACCAATAACCATTTTATAAGATACAGAATAGATGTTTCATATAGTAAAAGGATTAGTTCGAAATACGATTTTGTACCAGGGGGACAATAAAATCAAACATGTATATTGTCTAAGATATCTGGGAAGTTCATTGACAGGAGAAGATGTTGTTGTTTCTCTCGAAGATGGATTAGGATCGTTAAGAAACAAATAATTTAACAAAAAATATATGTCATAAAAAAAAGGATGATTTTATATACGACTTTAAGAAAAGAATTGAACTGCTTATTTCTATCCTCATATACTGTTTTAGAATTTTGGACAGTATCCTGAAGGATGAAGAAAGCCATTAAAAGGCGAAGAGATGGTTCTACAGAAAAAATTAGGATATAATGAATTTACCAGGATATAAAGTCTTGGAAAGGATGCAAATCTATTTTGAAATGTTTAACATAGGAAGACCTCCAGGAATTTCTAGGAACGAAATGATTAAAAAAGGCATTCAAAAAGAATCTAATATACTAAAAACGAATAAATGGGAAAAGATGATGGATCAAACATTACATGGCGGACTAATTGTTTAAATCGAGAAGTCTCGTCAGATTGGGAAAATGTTACAAATTTTGAGTCTTAATCCATGTGGGTGGAGGATATACAAATTTAATATAAACAGTTGAAAAAAATATAGTCATAGTAATGAAATTATTAAAATATTAGTTCGAACTCCTATTGAAGAAAGCTATGAGCGTATTGTCGTATCTTTTCCATCTCTCTCGACCAGCTATTTCCCCTGTGAAAATTTTCTTGATATAAATAAACTCTCTCTGGTAATTTTGACCAATTATCCAATGTACTATCTATTACACGTTAAATGTACCTAATTGTTTTCCCGCCGTATAATTCAGTAGGGAAGGGATGATCTAGATTCTATGATCAAAGTGTCTATCTGTTCTTTTCTGTGAACCAGTCGGCTATGGTTAAGAAAGCCATATCTCTCAAATGAATTACCTCTTTTTTAACCTTCCATCCTATGGGCAGCAACGATAAGTGATTTATTTCTTTTCAATCTCTCACTTTTCACTGTACTACAAAATTACTCATCCTCTGCATGAACATGGGGAGATATCTTTGTCTAGTTTATATAATACATAATTGTACCGATGTATTTTATTTAACAAAAATATCTATTAATTATCTATAAAATATATATATATATATATATCATTCATATTTCAGTCTTTTTCGGCAAATCCGGTTTCTTCTTGAAATTTTTTCTTTTTATTTTTTAAAAAAAAGTGCTCAATGAAATTTACAGAGCATAAATATTATAAATTATATATTTAAATTATGGTTTTCTTTCGCTAAACCTTTGGGGTAATAATCCATGTTTTTTGTTTCATG